GCGACAGATTTAGGTCGTATTCGGAAGAGTTTCGCTCCTATGTTGGCACTATGCCAAACGACGAGGATCATTCGAAAGCGTCGAGCATATGTTTCCCTTGTATCGTTCACGCATTCTTGTTGGATCATGTGTGATTGACAATTCATGATGTATACAAATCAGTCTTAACTTTCAAAAGCATTTGCAAATGATCATATCCGCGAATTAATTTCCTATTTCTTAGTAGTTTGCCAAAAATCAAATAAAAAAATCGTAGCAAAATTTTTCAAATCAAGAAATGCAATATGCAATTATATGGAATTTATAAAATATAATATATAGTATTTGAAATTTTTTATATATCTTTTATATTTATCTATAGAGAAGTAAGTGTGTTATATTTTAACTATTAAAAGTGTATAAATTAGTAATGTTTATTATTTGTGTCAGAAAATATTTTCAAATTTTTAACAAAAAATTAAAATGTCTAAAAATAAAATTTTTTTATATAAATATATAAAAGAATGATTAAAATGATTATAATGAAAGATAAAAAATATGTGTATTTTGTTCATTTCTTTTAATAAATATATGATTTGAAATTTTAATAAGATTAATAATGTATTAACATTAGATATATTTCTTCAAACTTATACGTTTTTCATATTTTAAGTTAATATTATTTTAAAAAAAAATATTATATAAGATTTAAAATAAATTAATATTTTTATGTATATATCTTATTCTATGTTCTTATTCTTATTTAAATTGATATTTTTATTTCGTTGAATTGTTAATGGAATTGTAAGTATATATGATGAAATGAAAATGTATATTTCAAAATAATATTGAAATTAATTTCTTCGTAAAAATTTGACAAAAAAATTTAAATAATAGAAAATTTAAAGAATAATAATAGAAAATTTAAGAAAAATTTAAAAAAATAAAATTTAATCTCAAAATATTTTAATTTTGAAGTTATTTTAAATTGTTTATTCACATTTATCAAATAAATTAATATCATACTCATATTTTAATGTTGTAAATAATTTATTAATTTATTGAAAATCGAAAGTAAACTGATCGTAAACGGATGTTAAAAAAATACTTAAATTTGGTCATGTCGTTGGATTATTGCGTTGCCAGACTTTGAATTCGTGATTTTTAACTTTCGCTTGCTATGCTTTGCATGATAAATCAAATACTTGTTCTTTTATAGAATTCTACACAAAGAAACATATATTTAGTTCTAATAAAAATTTTAAATTAAAAAGCATAGGTTAATAATTTTAATTTTAAGAGAATAATTATTCAATTCTTCTTTCAACTTTATTACCAGTTATATTTTAAAGTAAATAAATAAGTAAATAATAATTTTTTCCTAATACATAATAACCAATTATATTATTCCATAATATTTTATTATTTGTAACTTTCAAAATATACGTACATAAAATAATTTTTTTTTGAAAAAAAATTAAAAAACAAAAATATATTTCTTAATAAAACATAAAATTTTTTATTTAATTAAAATAAAAAAATAATTATGCTTTTTTTATTTTGTATTAAAATTAATGTTCCATTAGCATTAATTATAATTTAAAGATAATTTATGAATTAATAAAGAATATATAAAAATCCAAAAATTAAACAATAGAAATTATAAAAAAATTTATACAATATATACAATATATAAAATTAAAGTATATTTATATATATATATATATGTAATATAATATGAAATTTATCTGAAAAAAAATAGTAATTTTCTTCGTCAGTACGGCTTTCGCCTCATAAGATGGTTAAAAAGTCGAACATTTACTCTCACAAATATAATGCAAAATCAATAAAATACAT